CAGCAGCAGCATCGTCATCGTCAACTGAATTTGTCATCAGCTTCATTATTGTACCACTACATCAGCATCATCATTACAGTGCATCATCAATGCAGCGCCAGAACATGTAGCACAGTAGCACACTAAAAAAAATCGTGCAAAAAAAAAAACAAAAAAAATAAAGAAATGGCATAAAAACATAAGTAAAAGCCTAAACCCTAAACCAAAATCATGGCAAAATGTACACACAAAGCATCAACTGCTCTCTGAAATACGTGGCAATGCATACATAATGACATGGTATCATCACCTCTCTCTCTCTCTCTCTCTCTCTCTCTCTCTCTCTCTCTCTCTCTCTCTCTCTCTCTCTCTCTCCTCTCTCTCTCTCTCTCTCTCTCAAACTGTCTATAAAGCATTCTAGGAGCTCCGCCACGTCAAAACAGTGCACGACAGATCTCGCACACTTGCCGCGGACCTAAACGGCAGGCATTGGTACTGGCAAGGCCAACGCCATCTACATCCATAGCTTGCATCACCCCCGTCAACTGCGGATAATCGTTGTCGTCCTACTCAGGGGTGTAATAAACGGATGAAACTTTGTCGTCACTGCTCACACATGGTGTGCAAAAACAAATATCTTTGCTGCTGTCCGCACGTGGCGTTGGCAGTCGGGAGGTGACGGGGGTCTCATGTCATTCATTGACAGCAACTGCCGCCGTCTCATCTGCAGCATACATGAACTCTAGCAGCTGTAGAGCTTCGGCAGTTGTACTCGCCATCCTGGCTGCCTGCTCACGATACCGCCTCGACCGCGAGCTATACTGATGCAGCAATTGTGGCCGTATGGAGATCGGGTCTGTGTACCATACCCTCTCGTCATTCCCCCCGCGTCTACCATAACCACCTGATTGTGTTCGACGAGTTGTCACTGCACCAGCTGTTCCAACCCCTCGAGCGTTCCGCCTGACCCGAGACGAAGGGGTGGACAATCGACACGCCCTATCTGACATTGCATATGTTCACACTTGCAATGACGTGTGGCCTCCTCACTCTCTCTCTCTCTCTCTCTCTCTCTCTCTCTCTCTCTCTCTCTCTCTCTCTCTCTCTCTCTCTCTCTCTCTCTCTCTCTCT